TGTTTATAATGATTGTGACGCTGTCTATTAAATGATTAAAATGATTACGAAGCTGTGTATTAAGGATGAAGATGGTGGTGATGATGATGTTGATTGGTTATGAACCCATGATGCTGCCTATTGATTAATGGTGATGATTGTGAACGATGATAGATGATGATGACGAAGTCGAATGATGACTGCATATTTTTGATAAGGATGATTCCGATTGATGTCGATGATTATGATGATGCCTCGTATTGATGGTGGATCCTACGGATGACGCAGCCAGAGTTATAACTCGCAATTCATTAATTGGTTAGGCTACGTGATGATGGTATTATTTATGAAAGCACTGATGTTGATGATCATTACTTTGAGTCCGAGTGATGATGATTTTAATGACAATGGTGGAGCGACAGTCACGAAATCTACCATAATTATTCTCCATCGACAGCATGGTGATCATTCAAATCACCATTATCACAGATACTAGTCAATAAAAATAATGTTAATCATTCAATTATCATCCTTAATAGACAGCAACATTATCATAAAATACATCAGTGTCAATAACATCAATTGGCATCACCATCATAATTTCATTATTATAACCACCATCATACAAGACCGATATAACGTCTCTTTGTCATCACCATCCTTCGTCAGTGGGAATCATCATTCCAATGGCACCTTCATCAATTAATAGAGGGACCGTCATCATCATCACCACCACCATCATCAGTTGCGCCGTCGCCCTTCATATAACCACGTGACACCCAATTAACATTAAACATCTCAAGGGACACAGAGACATGCTGTATAATCACCATCAGCAGTATCATTGTGATAATTATCAGCAATATCCATGAGCAATCCACTGCTGGATGAAGGCCTCCCCAAACCGTCGCCACCTCCCGCTACCCTGCGATGCCACAATCCGTTACCAGCGTAAGCCGTGAGATAGTTACGATGGTGCGGATAATGATTAAAGGAGCAGTGTTGTGCTGTACGCGATTGAGGGGCTTACAGCGTTGACAGCAACATCATCATCAGCTCATACCTACTATAATCACACAGGAATGTCTGTCCTTAACGCTCGTGACGTCACTCCACATCGACCAGCCCCCCTCACTAATATTCATGAGCAGATGGCGTCCTCCAAATGGACACCCCCCCCCACCCCTCCTCATTCATAATCATGAGCGGGTGACGTCACTCCATATGGAGTACTCCCCCCCCTCACTAATAATCATGAGCGGGTGACGTCACTCCATATGGAGTACTCCCCCCCATACTCTTTGGTTCTATTGGGTAAAGTCACGTAGGTGAAAATAAAATAACAAAAAATCACGACGTTTCGGCCACAACACAAGCGGCCTTCATCAGGTTTTTTTTGTTACTTTATTTTCACCTACGTGACTTTACCCAATAGAACCAAAGAGTATGGATCCTAGCAGTCACGAAAGCTTTAAATCTAGAATACTCCCCCCCCCCCCTCACTAATAATCATGAGCGGGTGACGTCACTCCATATGTAATACCCCCCCCCTCACTAATAATCATGAGCAGGTGACGTCACTCCATATGGAGTACTCCCCCCCCTCACTAATAATTATGAGCGGGTGACGTCACTCCATATGGAGTATCCCCCCCCTCACTAATAATCATGAGCGGGTGACGTCACTCCATATGGAGTACTCCCCCCCCTCACTAATAATCATGAGCGGGTGACGTCACTCCATATGGAGTATTCCCCCCCTCACTAATAATCATGAGCGAGTGACGTCACTCCATATGGAGTACTCCCCCCCTCACTAATAATCATGAGCGGGTGACGTCACTCCATATGGAGTACTCCCCCCCCCTCACTAATAATCATGGGCGGGTGACGTCACTCCATATGGAGTACTCCCCCCCCCCCTCACTAATAATCACGAGCAGGTGACGTCCTCCAAATGGACACGCCCCCCACATTAATAATAATTAGCGGGTGATGTCACTCCACGTGGGGGCCGAGGCGCCTCCTCCCCCCTCCTCGGCGTCAACTTACAACCCTCACTATAAAGGCAGAACCCTCACGTCACGCGATCTCCGTCATTTTGTTGAGACATCAAAGTAAAAAGGACGTCACGATGAACAAGGGATTATAACCTTTAAATGAAATAGGTCTGTGTCACCGCGCCCTTACAAATTGCACACGAATGTATGCAATGAATATCACGTCGCGGTCTGCTTTTCGCTTGCAAGTTTCAGATTTACTGCAATACATCCGTCCTTGGACGGGCAAAAGGCGATTATGATTTGGCAACATCATTCGCGAATCTGTGAAGATGCTGCGGATTAATATATTCAGGTAGAGAAAGAAAAATATGGGGTAGAGAAAGATGTTCGGGTAGAGAAAGGTCTAGGAGATTAAATGTCGTGGAACCCGATTTGAATGTAAACAATGATTATGATGATGAGGCTATCTACAAAACAAGGCGCGCAGAGATCCAGAGCAGAGCACGTGACCCGCGTGCACGGGCGGCGAGACACCCTGGGGGAGCGAACTTTTCCCAAAGGACACCCAATCAATGTGCGCCTTTACACGGTGTACCCAATCAATGTGCGCCTTTACACGGTGCACCCAATCAATGTGCGCCTTTACACGGTGCACCCAATCAATGTGCGCCTTTACACGGTGCACCCAATCAATGTGCGCCTTTACACGGTGCACCCAATCAATGTGCGCCTTTACACGGTGCACCCAATCAATGTGCGCCTTTACACGGTGCACCCAATCAATGTGCGCCTTTACACGGTGCACCCAATCAATGTGCGCCTTTACACGGTGCACCCAATCAATGTGCGCCTTTACACGGTGCACCCAATCAATGTGCGCCTTTACACGGTGCACCCAATCAATGTGCGTCTTTACACGGTGCACCCAATCAATGTGCGCCTTTACACGGTGCACCCAATCAATGTGCGCCTTTACACGGTGCACCCAATCAATGTGCGCCTTTACACGGTGCACCCAATCAATGTGCGCCTTTACACGGTGCACCCAAGCAAAAGGTGAGTATTAGGGTCTATAAACTAAACTATTTTTTTTATTCAACCAGGTAAGGCCAACTGAGCGATATATCTCTTTTTAAGAAGCAACCTGGCTACAAATGATAGCCCAATTAAGTGGCTTATCTTGTGGACATGTATATCAGCCAAATACTCTAAACGCATGTTTCTAAATGTGAAGGTAAAACCCGGAGGACCCAGAGAAAAATCCACGTGACCACAGGGAGAACATGAAACTCCAAATATACGTACAAGCATCGGGGTCTAACCCACGACCTCACGTATCCCAAGGAAGCTCGTTAATATCTCGCAACCTCAGCGCACCTGTATGAGTCTATGGGTCTGTATGTGAGTGACTGGTGAACGGCCTGAAACCTTAAACCCACTCGGCATGAGAAACCGGTTTTATCACAGGCAGCGGCTGAAACCCGGATAGGAACTCAGGTTTTCAAAGTCTGCGACCTCTGCAGTCCACATGAGGGCGGCCTTCAGCAGCCACCGCGCGTAACTCTGAGTGACTCCACGAGCACACGATTCGCCTCCTCCGTACGTGTCTGTCTCTTCATGTCAGAAAATTGAAGCATTTGCGCAAAACAATTATATATGTAAATAAGATAATAATTTTACATCTTATTTTGGTATTTTAATCAAACATTTTTACTGTCTCATAAATTAACAATATAAGTGTTTATAGTATTTGAGTACAGTATATATATTTATATAAAGCATTTGTTACACATCTCATCAGCAACACGGCCTTCAGGGAGTGCATCTTATGGGCAACACTGGTTCAACACGAGCAAAACTCTCCAAGGGTTTCGACATGCTGTGTCTCATTAGCAAAGTTAAGCTTGCTTGAACCATTGGTTAAACACAAAAAACTCAATTGGTATCGTGCACAGTAACAGGAATTGCTCCCTACTGGCAAACCAATGTCCTAGGTCACTCTTACACATTATTGATTCGGGATTACATCACTTGAGTTTTCACCTGATTAAACTAAATAAACGTTAGACACAAACAAAACCCTGGACCAGTTTCAACATAAAGTGTCTCATCAGCAAGTAGAGTCAGCCTTTGCTTGAACTAATGACGGTAAACTTCCAGATGATGAGAGGCGAGGACGTTGTCTGTGAGAAGGCTGCGCAGGGCGGGGCTCCCGCACGACGTTCAACGCACGGCCGGTGGGCGCTGTGGCCACCATAGGTACTGCGAGCAGTGTGGGCACCGCGCGCTCCGAGGGCACCGCCCAAACCATTGACACCGGTGGGCACCGTGGGCACCGCGGATACCACAGGCACCTCCGGACGCCAGCGCGGGCGACGTAAAGCGGCCGCTCCCACGGGCGGTCAGTGTTCGAGGGTTCGGTTTCCGTGGGTCAGACTCCATCCCCAGGGCACGGGCGTAGCTGCGGGCGAGCCCACGGCGGTTCCCCTGCAGAGTCACCGGCGGGGAGGCGCGAGGCCGTGGCTTCGTGACGCGGCTCGTCGCACGCGAGGATCCGGGGACCGGCGCCGTGGGGAGCGCCGCGGAATGGGACGGGGCCCCCGCGGTCAGCACCGTGCCAACAGAAACGGCGGAGCGCAGTCTCCGCTCATTGCAGAGGCTTGTGATTCCAATGCAGCTGGCCGCCCTGGTAAATACGGCGTGTATTAACCGTGAAATACTATGCGCAATCTGCTTGAATGGACTTTAAGGATCCCGTGACATCATTCGAAAAGAGTAGGCCATTGTGTGCTGGCGTCATGGTTCAAATTTGAAAAATTATATCTAAACTTATTAAATCAGGATCACACAGCAGCAACATCCCCCCCAACTGTGAAACAACCGCAGCCTCGTGTCTCACGTGAAACACAGCAACACCTTGCCGCGCGACAACTGCCTCGCGCTATAAGCACAGCGTGAATAGCACACATGGACGACGTTGCTGTTGAAACAAAAATATAAGAAACGTGCTTCAGTTTGTGAGATTGACCTTACACATGACTTTATTTTAAGAACATTTCGCTGGACATAACACAAGCAGCAGTGTGCGTCTTTGATAGAGCGAGACCGCGTGCAATGTCACGGCAACGCAATTCCCAGTCGCGGCTCCTGCATCGGCGCTTCTCAACCACTCCACCACAATCGGGGAAATGGAAACTAAACTCGACACAGCGCCCCATCGCAAGTCTTCACGCCACCCGGGTGACTCTGATAAAAATTAAAACTCATTAGGAGAAGAAATGTTCACGATTGAAAAAGGCCGCAGTTTATTAAAATGATTGGCAATAACGCACGAGACGCAGCCAACGTGAGGGTCCGGACTCGAGTTCTGGGTCAGGCCATGGAACAATCTGGCCAAATTTGTGCCGTGTGACCCTCCATCATCCGACATCACCAAATTAACGTGTCACGTGGTACATTTAACAACACATCAACTATGACTACACCAAGCACCTTGAGGACAAGATCCAGGAAGTCAGAATTTTAATTGTTTGATCTTATGATGGAAAGTTAGTCCATGGCATTACGTGGGCTAACCAAAAAATCAATAACGAATTGCAAGAATAACGACTCAGACACTTGACCTATGTCACAAACGGGCTACAGTTGCCGACAGCTCTCACTGCAATGACCATCGAGATGCATGCAACGTGAATTGCCGCTCAGTCTGCGACTCAGCGAATTCCTTATGCATGTGCAGGGTGGAACGAGATGGGCATTGGAGTGGCACCCCGGGGTTAGCAACCAAGGGTGCAGAGGAAACCTCATGCCGCCAGGCAGTGGTGGTGAGAGGGGCCCTCACAAAAGTGGTCAACGGTGTGGCAAGGAGAAAGCCTGAAGACAGGAGGTAGTGGTGGTGCAGGTGGTGAGGCTGTGAGAGTGGTCAACTTGCAGTACCTGGAATTTGTTGTGTCCACTTTTTTTTTTAAACTTTCACAATCTCCCCAGGTGTGTGAGAGACGTTAGAACACTGAACCAGTCTCAGCTACATATGCTCGCGAGCAATGTTCACACGACTCCACGTCGTGACCAGAGGATTCCTGTATCAGTCGTGGCTTCATGGCCAGCAACCTCCTGGCAGTCAGCGGATGGGCTTGGCTCACTGATGAGCCCATGTAATAGCGAACCACAGCCATATCTACCACACTGTGCATGCAAGAATTCCATTAATCAAGGCCCTGGCAGCTGAAAGACCAACTTTAATTTTTTTACGTCTTTTCCTGTTTGTAAAACTCACTGAGGTAGCATTGATATAAATTACACTTAAATCCATGAGTGACAGTGGTTTAGGAGTACTCATAATTGCCGTGTCAGAGTCCCAGTGCTGACACCACTGAGATCCTGAATCCGGAGTTTCAGCCACACAGTCATGACGATGAAACTGGGTTCTCAAGTGCGGTGAGTTGATGGTCTCAGCCTGGTTACCAACGACTGCACCAAAAACGCATCGTATTAAGTTTGGGTTTTTTCACAATGGACGTTAATGACCCCATGAGGTCAATCGAAAAGAGTAGATCACTGAGTGACTGTCACGGTCCAGATTGGCCAAATATGAAAGTGTATCTGCAAATCATTCAATTCGGAGAAGGCACTTAGCAACATCGCCCCCTGCTGTGAAACTACTGCAAGCTGTACCCCTCTGGGAAACAGAGCCTTCCTTCGTGAGAGCACCAGCGCTATAAGCATTGTGTGATTATGAATGTACTAATGGTAGAGTGGGTAAGTGAGTGAGTATTTGAGTCAGTGAATGATTGGGTGGCTGAGTTCCCTTGATAGGCAGCAATTAAAGATAAAGAGTTTCTGAAATACGGACACACATTGAAATGTACACTCATCGCCCACCAGACCAGGCGATTGTGATGCTCTGGCGATTGTGATGCTCTGGCATCACAATCGCCTCTGTCTGTCTCATCACTGTTGTATATATGCCTTTTCCCAAATTTTATATTATGAGTGATTTTGCCTATATCTTTTTTTATTTTTTGTTATTGTAATAATTTGATTGGGGTGTCACGCCCCCCCCCCCCGCCTCCTGCCCCGCCACACAAAAGGCAGCTGGAAGGTTATAAAATGTAATTCTAAAAAACCCCGGTGCATGGGGGGCTAATAAGATTCTGCGGGAAATTCCAAACGGACTCCAAAAAAAAAGGCCAGATTAATTATGGCAAGAGGTGGTAAAACCAGTCAGACACACCGAGGGACAAACAGCTGTTCCCACAGGATGAGAGCGAAATCAAAGTGGTTTCTTGTCCTTTGTCAGGAGGCGATTCGAGGTGGGAAATTTTCGAATATAACGAGCAGAAACTACGCACATCAGTCTTGCTGCGGCAAGCTCCGGGAGTGGGCCTCGAAATCAACCATGGGCGTCGTATCTCGCAGAGGAGAGGGATGATGTATTGTTAAGTGTTGATTTCGGCACTGACCAACAAAGTATCGCTGAAAGTTTATTCTACATTGAGCCATCCTGGAAGAAGGGGCGGGAGAGGCACCCCAGGACGCCTGCGCGAAGCTAGCAGCTGCAAGAGAGAGAGAGCATAGAGCTGTGGAGAGAGCGTGACCCGCGCAACGAGAAAGAGTGTCGGCGCTGGCGAGAGCACCGGGTGTTCGACACACACACATCGATGCAGACGGAACCTAGACAAGTGTGAGGAGCAGCGACAAGCAATCAACCTGGAGAAAGGGCGGAGAGCACCAAGCATCAACCAAGCGAGCATCGCACAGGACCAGCAGCAGCAGCAGCAGCGGCTAATGACTAACCACGAGCGTGCGGACCCGGAAGCCGAGCACACCAATGCAAAGGTTGAGTCTACAAGGATCAACCGTGCCTGGTGTCAAACGGGGGTGACGCGCGGCGACCAGCGGACGATTTAAATTAATTAATTGATGTCTACTTTTGCCTTGGTCACATGTTTCTTTATCACTGTTCGTATGAATATCGTGGTTTTTTTTAAGGACTTTTCCTATCGCCACGTATGGTCTCGCTGCTCTGAGAAGTTAGCCTATTGTTACATTGCTCAGTTTAAACAAACTTAACCTTTGAGGGTTAATTGTGCGGATTAATGAGTAGGACATCTCCAGGAGTACTGTGTTGATAATTCCGAGCATAAAGTGTTCGCATATTAGAGTGTTTTTAGATATTAAAATTGCTTAACACAGAAGACTCGGAGTGATTCTTTCCTAAGTTGATGCATAATAATCTTAATTATAAGAACTATATCCTGCGGTGAGATCTGAATTCTAGACCTGACATGAACACATTAAAATATCATCAGTAAAAGTTAAAGCGAGACTCATTGTATTATCACGATTGATAAATAACCCTAGACAACGAAGCCGAGCCTAATTATAATAACTGCATACAGTAGCATAATTTCATAAATTACATATTTTTCATTGTATTGTCACAATAGGTAATACACCCCTAGACAACAAAGCCAAGCCTAATTCGCACGAATGCATAAATTAGCATAATTTCGTACACAAACACATTTAACATTTTTCAAAGAATTTTTTTTTTTCAAGACAATATATACAACATCACTCACGGTCACTGATCCATGAACTTTGCGATTGTGGAGAGCTGTATGTTGGAGGTTCCTTCGTAAATGGTGCCTAATAAGGAGGTGGAATGGGGAGAGACAAGTCGCAGGAGGCGAGACATTGTGTGCTTATTCCTGGATGATGGTGATGATAGTGCGGATGGTGATGATGATGATCCTGCTTTTGATGAGTAGATGATGTGGATGATGTAGATGATGTGTGGGACCGTACCGACTTTGCAGTCCCTGTAGTACTTCTCGATGGGGTAGCTGGTAGTGAACCCCACTCCTCCCATCCACTCCATGCACTTTGACGTCGTCAAAGATGCCACCTACGCGGAGACAAAGATCCCCCGTATAACCTTTGCTGTTAACGAGCACCTATAAAAGCCGACACACCATGCCCTACCGCCTTTATCTCCCCAATCTTGATGTTTACACACTGCATCGTGTACTGATTTAAGGCTGAGTCGACCTTGGGGAGGTCCTGGACCGGTTAAAATATTCACCATCGTTGGTCGTGAGCAGGATTCGACCTCGGGTCACCGGGCTCGTAGCACAGTGCGGTTACCATTTGTTGGCACCAGTTCTGCCATCAACGAGCAATTGAGGCGCCGTGTCGGCCTTCACGGTGCTCCCTAAACAGCACTGTCCCCCGTGCAGCCTGCGTGGGCCACATGGGGGACTCTCTTGCTTTGTGTGTACATGGTTCTTGTGTGTGCAAGTGTGTGTGTGGTGCTTGTATGTGCAAGTGTGTGTTTGTGTGTGCAAGTGTGTGTCCCAACAGGCAGTTAAAGGTTATATGGGGGACCACTGTATGTCTTTGTGTGCACCTCAGAGGTGAAGTACTTGGCCATGCAGGCCTGTGTGAGGAAGGGCAGGCCGGCCTCGCGCAACCGCGCCGCGTTGTACGTGAGCAGCCGTGCCGCCTCGATCTGTGTCGCCACGTGGGCGATCTGGTGCTGCATGCCCTGGGGGGGAGGGGGGACGGATACGTACTCATCACTCTCGTCCACTCAACCTCACGCACAAGAACAACAGCATGCACACAGAAACACACAATCACTTACACACGCACTCATATTTACACGTGGTAAAGACACAGAACCCCCGTACAGCCTGAACAGCCTGCTGGACCAAGTGCTGTTTGTGAGTAGCGCTATGAAGGTCGGCACGGCAGACGAGGGAGTGGGTGGCCAACACCACATCTGACCGCCGTTGTCTCCCCAGTGGTGATGTTTACACATCACACCAGGTACTCATTTGAGGCTGAGTCGACCTAAGGGAGGCCCATGACTAAACTCAGGATGCCTTATTCGTAGTGCAGCGAGCTAACCGCACACTCACATACACACAACAACAACTGCCATTCGCCACTAATTGGTGGTGACGTCACCACGACGCTTGTGCGAGGCTATGTGTACCTTGAGGCCACGTGAAGTGTCGAACGCCCGCTGGCAGGAGGTCACGGGGCAGACCCAGGTGCCACGGGTCAACTGACTTGAGATGAGTGGCTGATGCACCACCTGTGCCCCCCTACTGTGCCAACTTGCTGTGCTTTAGCCACCCGGCGCTCCGCTCGTTGTTGTGAGCGTCGCTCCTCCGCTCTCCGTTGTTGTTGGAGGGCGACTGCCTCCAACTGCCCAGTAGCGTCCTTCACGAGCCTCCTCCACAGAGGCCGATCTTGACACCGCTGGTACCAGTTATCAGCAAGTCCACTCAGCTCCACATCTTCCTGTACCACATCACTCCATCTCTTCTCTAGCCCATGCCGCGCCCTTTTAGCCCCCTCGATCCGGCCGAATAAAAGCTGTTTAGGCATGCGGTGACTGGGCATGCAGGCTACATGGCCCAGCCAACGCAGCCTTGCCTGCCGGAGGAGCTCACCGATGGGACTTTGTCCAGATCTTTCAAATACACACATGCACTAGAGCACACGCGTGTACCACGCTCAGCCAGGGAGCGAACCTGGAAGTCGTAGATGCGCTGGCCGAACTGCTTGCGCTGCTTGGTGTAGGCGACGGCGTGGTCGAAGCAGCCCTGGGAGAGCCCCACCATCTGCGGGAAGGCACACCCGCATGTGTTAGTGTGCAGCGACACACGCGTGTCCACGCACGGCGTTCACGCGAGTTGGTGCCATGACCCCCTCACCTGCGCAGCGATGCCGATGCGGCCCTCATTAAGCATACCGATGGCGTACTTGTACCCGTGTCCCTCCTGGCCCAGCACGGCGCTCAGCGGAACCTGGGTCGCATCGCAACGGGCAGAGAGACGGACGGCGGGGTACAGGAGTTATCATCCTCTCGTACGTGTCATGGGATTTCTCCCATTTCCTCAAATAGGAAGCAGCGGTCAAAACAACAGTGCAGCAGTTGCCGGTGTGAAACACGTTCATCTTGCAGACACGCTCACCAACAAACACACACTCATTCACACACACACACAAAGACAACAACAAACACAGTTGCTGGCCACAGGCCCAAGGGTCCAAAACGCCAAACGGCCAGCAAAAAGCAGGAGCGGACCTTGACGTTTTCGAAGTGCACAGGGCAGGTGGAGGAGGCGCGGATGCCCAGCTTGTCCTCCTTCTTGCCGACCTGCAGGCCCGGCGTGTCACGCTCCACCACAAAGCACGTGATGCCCTTATAGCCCTAGTGGCGGTCATACAAACGTACAAACACAAACAACACCACACACATACACAACAACAACAACCGACGATGTTTAAATACACACATGAACACGCGCATACACAAATATACACGCAAATATGTGTAGGGCATTCACAAAAATACACGTCACCAGGGTAGCTGATGTATAAACATTGCCATTAGGGAGATAAACGTGGCCGGGTGTTGTGCTGGCCACCTACCTCCTCGCCGACACAAGCATTCACTTACAGCACTTGGCCCAAGTCTGTTAATTGTCATATGGGGGATCTTTGTCTTTGTTGTATGTGGGTGCGTGTGTGTGCGTGTGTGTGCGTGCGTGTTTGTGTGTGTGTCTTTGTTTTTGCATCGAACCCTCTCTGGCGCGGCGTTGGCCATGACGAGGAAGACCCCCGCGTGCTCCGCGTTGCTGATCCACATCTTGGTTCCGTTGAGGAGGAAGTGATCTCCGCGTTTCTCCGCCCGCATCTTCATCGCAAATGCATCGCTGCCCGAGCCCTCCTCTGACAGGCAGAAGCTCCCAACCTGCAAGCCGAGTTGAGGAGTTCTCACGCGCGCTCTCGCTGACCATGTCGCTCTCACTCACCGCGTCTCACAATCGCGCGCTCGCTCATAGCGTCACCCTCTCTCTCACCGTGTCGCTGGCGAGCCGGGGGAGGTAGTGTCCCTGCTGCTCGGCGGTCCCCAGCTTGCGCACCATGGTGTTGATGAGCGTGTTCTGGATGTCGCACAGCACGGCGACCGAGGGGTCGACCCTCGCCAGCTCCTCCACGGCCAGCACCGACGCAAAGAACGTTGAGCCCGCGCCACCCAGCGCCACGTCGATCTCAATACCCATCAGCTAAGAGCCACGCACACGCAAGAAACACGTGTGGGTAAGTGTGCATGGGGAGCAGTGTGAGGGAAGAAGCAGAAATAGAAGCGTTGTGACCTGCAGCGTGGTGGTTGAACACGGTATGGATGAGTGCGTATCCCGTTTGTGTACGTGTATTCCCCGTGTGTGTACCCCCGAGTGCGAATGTGTGAGCCATACCCCCTGCTCAAAGAGGCCGTCGATGACCCCCTGGTGCATGACAGACGCGCGATCCATCTCCGCCACGATGGGCGCCAACTTATCCCGAGCAAACTTGGCAACTGGGGAGACATGGGACATATGCGAGTGGGTGAGCGTGTGGGCGAGTGAGCCGGCGAGCAAGTGGTAGGATTGCCCTATCTCCAGGTAAAACCTGGACCGGTGGCAACCCTACCACAAAGGATCCCCACGATGGGTCCGTGAGCTCGGGAGGTGAAATAGAACCCTGGATGATGTCTGCGGGGTCTCACCGGCATCTCTCATCATGGCCTCCTCCTCGTTTAGGCTCTGCAGCGGGCCCTGCACAAGTGTGGCCGCGCCGTCATGGTGCGGGTGTGGTGCTCCAGACGATAGGGCCCTGCAGCAGTGGAGACCGGCGCCGCCACTCCGCCACACTGCTGCCCTGCCCATCCACCCCACGCACGCCTACACCACCGCGGGAGAGATTTACGATGGGTAGACACGTGTTCATTAATTGATTAAAAACACTTTCTGTGCGCAATTAACTAATTACACGTTAGTGTACAGATGAATTACGGCTCAGTCTATTTGAGTTTAACGATGCGTGCGATTCGATGGGTATCCGTATGAGTCGATGGGTTTCAAACGAGTCAAGTGACCGGGCTGATACCATCAACGTGCTACACTTGAGATCCTGGATTAATCCCAGTTCCGTGTGAGTCTATGGGTAGTTCGCCAGCATATGTTTAAGCAAATCTTACTATGCTGTCAAAACCCATCCAAAGTTGTCCTGTTGAACCAAAGCTGCTGAAATTATGCACTTCAATCGGATGTGTGGCTGATGGGGTGTACGAAATACTTTTGTGTCGAGCAACATTGGATGTTGGAGGTGGATTGTCTGCTTATGTATGGTGTCAGACTGAGATCGCAGCTTTGGGCCGGTTCACAAATGAGAGGTCGGGAGTGGAACCCGAAGGGGCCCGGGAGGGAAATACAAACTCAGTGCTGCTGGGATTCGTTCTGGACAAAGGCGCGATGGATCGCAGCCATTGGCGAGAAGTGCGATTCATCGTCGAGAATGTTTTTTGAGTTGCGACACAGAGGTCGTTGTTGCTGTTAGCTGTTGTGGTGTGAATCACAGTGTAGGAGGGAGCACGTTAGTGTGGCCCGCGGGGTTGATATTTTGGACAATTAAAATATTTCACCTGGAAAACCCCTTAAGATGCAAACATATAATGCAATACACTTTCATAATAATTAATAATGCAATACACTTTATTTTCGTTCATTACGCAGACCCTCCCGCTCACTTTTTACAACAGCACAGCCAAGAAAGGACCAGCGAAGCAGACAAAACAGCGGCAACACGGCGGAAGGTTGCAAGTTCTCAGCCCATCCCTCTAGGGCCTATAAAATTAGTACCACTTTGTGAAGTGGTACTATTGTCCTATGGATAGACTCGCCCCTGCCAGAGGAATGTGGAACTTCCACCGCTGGCTCTGGCTGCAAACATGACATGAGTACCGTAGCATCGCCCAGTTGAGCAAGAAATTCCACATTCCCATGGCAGTCAATATAGTAGCTAGCTACACAACCAGACCGCTAGCAAAGTGCTAAATTGCAGCCGTAGTCGATCCACTGCTGGATGATGGCCTCCTCTTCCGGCCGTCAGTCTCTCGCGCTCTCGCTCACGAAGTGTGGTAGCGACGTAACGAGAGCGCCGTACGGGGCGCTCCCGAACGTGACCTCACGGTCAGCTTCTATTAATTAAACTCTCACGGCTGCAATTAAACGCGTTCTGTGATCACACGCTCACGGAGGGAAACCTGAGAATCTTAACCGTCACCTCCGTGACGCGTATGACGTCAGCAAACAAACACAAATGTGTTTTTTTTATGTCACCTCCTTCAAATTAAAGGCAATGGTGAGATAAATAACTGTGCGTGTGTGAGTTTAATGGAAGCGAGAGAAACGCCGCGATGGGAGAGGTAGCAGACTCGCCTTGGCTATCAAACCCACTGCTGCAGCCGCCATGTCGGGGTCGTCACCGCCAGCTCGCTCCTGATTGGCCCAGACGGCAACACCCCCACGTCTCAATCACGTGACCGCTCTCAGCCAATAGCTAAATCACTGACTTCGTCCCGCACTGGATGACGAGCGTGCACCTAGCCTGGCACAATCGCTGCGGGGACGTCACCGCCACTTCTTCATTGAGCATAAACAGAGGCACAGTGGGTAATAAGATTTGGAAGCTGCAATCATTCACACTATGCGACCTTATTATAATCACATAAAAACGTGTTTTTTTTGATGACTGGTTTCACGTCTGTGAAAAAGAACTTTATAGCTCATCGGATTCCAGTCGTAAATTTGAGGCACTTGGCCACCGTTCAGTTTTTATTCTCTCTTTAGCGACTCGTCCTGCCAAGCCCGATTATTTTTCAGAATGAATACATTAAACTCCGTGCTCGCGAACTCGACTCAGGGAGTTGTTGATAGCGTGACGTCAACCCGACATAAGTTTAGTTTAGTTTTTTTGTTTATTTATTTTGGTATAGCCCTGTGAGCCATTCGGCTCTTGAATCGGGTGCAACCGCAACAAACAAAAAACATGAACAAAAAAACATCTTAAAGTGACTATGTGACTGTGCAAACAGAAAATCCATGAAAAAAACAAAATATTCCTGAAAAAAGCACCGTACACCAACGCTGTGTGCAAAAAATCCCAGTGGGATTCAAGTCAAACAACAACCACAAGAAAACTTGGATTAAGGCCATCAGTCTAACTCCGTACTACAACAAACAAAAACATGGCCAAACCAAAAAACTTTTCGAAATAAAAAAATAAAGCCATAATTGCAACGTAACAGTGATCACAGGGACTGTGACCGAATTTTTACAATAAACTACATAAATAACATGTAACACCAAATCCTAGAGCCATAGCTGGCTGCATGAGTTACTCCACAACAACAGAAGCATCAGTTGGAGTATCACATTTTTCAATGAACCTTTAAGATCAGCACGCTAAATCAAAACACAGATAATACTTTGCAGCGTCATCTGGAGCGAAACATTTTATTTTACGCCAATGAATAGCAGTGGCAGCTAGGGGTGTACAACTCCTCTAGAGCAGTTTTGAGAGAATATCTCATTGGTAGCGTTTCAAGTTGCAGTTTATTGGCAATAGCATTCCAGACCCTGGGGGCATCAATAGCAAAGGCCCTTCCTCCAGTTTTTGTACGGCAATAGGGAATGTGAAGCTGGTAAATGAGCAAAGACCTGAGGTCAAATTTGTTCTTTGAAACAGAGAGGAGATCCAGCAGGTAGTCTGCGGATTTTTTTGTAAGTAGATCGTGAATAAATAAGATCTGGTGCACAAGCCGTCGAACATTAAGAGACGTTGAGTTTGACCCAATGTAGATATCACAGTGGTGAGTCCTATATGGGCAGTTCAATGTAAATCTTAAGGCCGAGTGATAGATGGAATCAAGCTTCTTCAGTACAGTACTTGGGGCTGGTTTATACACGATGTCACAGTAGTCAAGTAGAGGCAGTATGGTAGCTTTTATCAATTCCAAACGGAACATTGGGGGGAAGCAGTGCTTGTGTCGATACAGAAAACCAATTTTTATTTGTCTCTTTACCAATATAATCAATGTTATCTTCAAAAGTCAGTTTTGAATCCAGGATGACCCCAAGATACTTATAGATCTTGACTTGCTCTATTTGATAATTATTTAAGGAATGTAATTGGGGAAAAATAACTTCCTGCTTTAGTCCTGGTGAGAAGCATAGCACCTTGGTTTTGGAGGTATTCAGAACTAGTTTAAGAGCAACTAGCTGATGTTGTAGTTTGTTTAAATCACCCTGTACCTTAGCAATCACATCATCCGGAGAGCGGCCAGCAGTAATCAGTATCGTGTCATCTGCAAAAAAATACCCTGGAATGATCCAGGTCAGTGCCCAAGTCATTGACATAAAGAGAGAGGGGGCCGAGGATGGAACCCTGTGGAACCTCTTTTGTTATCTTAACACTGTTTGACATCCAACCATCTGTGAATACAGTTTGGGTGCGAGAAAAGAGGTAATTTTGTAACCATTTTACTGCGTTTTCGGAAAAACCGAGGCAACTCAGTTTACTAAGCAGAGTGTTGTGGTCTACTGTATCAAAAGCTTTGGACAGGTCTAGAAAAAGACAGGCAGAGTACTGCTTATTATCAAGGCTACTGTAAATGTGATTCAGAGAGTCTAATGCAGCAGATGTGGTGCTGTATTTTTTTCAGAACCCAGATTGTTTTAGATGTAGTAGATTGTTGGTGGACAGGAAACTAATTTGGTAGGTCAAAAATTTTCATCAACGGGGACAAAATTGAGATAGGTCGGTAGTTATTTGGATCATCTTTAGGGCCCCCTTTATGTTGTAGACGGACATAGGAATGTTTCCATTCTAGAGAAACTGATGCTTCTTTAATGGACAGGTTGAAAATATGGGCTATAGGTTTGTATATTAGGTGACCAACAGTTAGTAGTGCAAAGACAGGAATACAATCTGCTCCGGTAGAGGAGGACCCTTTGAGGTAGGACAGTTGTTTCAGAACATTACTTTCGTGGATTGGCTGGAAACTAAATTCGTTTAATGTTTGGACAGGGGTGTAGGAATTTGCATGAGCAGGGGTGACTCCCAATACATTATCAAAAAGATTACCAGCTTCAGAAAAATGAAGGTTAAAATTGTCAACTATTTTTTGGGGATCTGAAAAATATTCCCCATTTCGGTTAAGCTCAACGGGCAGATTGTCTGTTTTGGACGCCTTTTCGATAAATTTGATTGTTTTACATAAAATCCTGGCATTTCCATGTGATTCCAGGAGAGTGGAGGAAAAGTAGGCATTTTTTGCATGCCGCATTTTTTTGACGCATCTATTCCTTAAAATCCTGTATTCTTGCCAGTCATTGACCAAATTACTTTTCTGAGTGCATGCCCAAGCCTTGTCCCTAGTTTTCATGAGCTTTGTAATCAAAGGATCAAACCATGGTGGGCAGTTGCCTTTAGTTTTAAATCTAACCAACGGAGCATGTTTGTTAAGAATTTGGAGAAACGTGTACCTGAAGGTATCCCAAGCCGTAGTCAGGTTGGGGATATCACAGACCTTGTCAATATCCGAGTGAAGCACATAATTAGTAAATGCCTGAGTGCTGAAGTGCCTCATAGAGTGCTTCTCAACCAATTTAGGGGGGGCTTTGGGTCTGGCTGATGATCTCACCCCAAAAATGATCACTAAGGTTATTACCCAGAACACCAGTCAGTGTCAAATTGCGAGGAGCATTTGTCAATAGGACGTCAAGCAGAGATGACTGTCCCGGATTTTTTAGGTTGGGTCTTGTGGGGACATTTATTAATTGAAACATTAAATTCATCTGCAAAATTTGTGGCCACAGCTGGCGGGTTTAGCCAATTCCAATTTAGATCACCCACTAAAACTATTTCACCTTTAGGGAGGCCCCCAAAAACTCTCTCAGTGCAGATGCAGCTTCAACATCCTTCCCACTAAGTGTTCGATAGCAGCACACTACAAATATCTGTTGATTATTTGGGAGAGTTATTTTGAGAGCCAGACCTTCAAAGCAACATTTTTTAAACAAGGAGGGAGCTAGTGAACATGCAATCGTATTACGAACATAGATGGCAATTCCACCTCCTTTAGATCCTCGGTCAAGCCGAAAAAGGTTGTAGTTGTCAATCGCAATCTGCAAGTCATTGAGGGCAGGAGTGAGAAATGTTTCTGTTAGGCAAAAAATGTCCAGGTCAAGATTTGCCACTTCTAGATTTAGTTGACTTAATTTAATCACAAGCCCTCTGATGTTGACATGTAGAACACCAACATCTTTCCTGCCAGAAAAATCTACAGAATTATACGAGTTCTTTTCATTTGGGCCAGGATGAAGCTCAATACCACCCAGAAATAAGAAAAGTAGAATTAATAGTTTGCACAAGTATTTTCTGTGAAAGGATGAAGAGCGGTGAACCTTGGACGAATAGCAGTAGCTCGCAGATGGTGCTATTTTTAAGAGCAGAATGAAGTTTGGAAGGAGTGCTGGTGAAGTAATGGGACAAAGATTGGGTTTAAAAGGATACAATGATTGAGTGTAGAAGTGTCTATGAGCTGTTTCATTAGCAGGTGTAGTGGCAAATCGAGCAACAAGTATGGACGCAAAGTAACGAGGGTAGCTGTTTGTAGAGTTGAGTGTGGCACTAGACATGGCCGGGAGGGACAGCAGTAGGATACACAGCAGGAGAATTGCCATCTCTAAAATATCCGGGGTAAACACAGATCAACACACAAGCAGAAAAGAAAAAATATATACTTGTAGGCCGAGCGCGAGAAAACGTCTTGCCGCACTCGTCACACATGCACGGCTTCTCGCCCATGTGCTAGGGTTGAACAGCGCCCCCCCCCCCAGACAGGGACAGCAGATTTTTGGCTGTTGTGGGCTCGGCTGAACCGCTTGCACCACCTCCTTTCCCCGCCGCAGGATGGTGCTCGAGCTAGCCCTCCTTGAGCTCAGCCCATGACTGGAATGTCGTTTCTTGGCCTCTCGTGTCTCTGCTGCCCGACCAGACGGCCCCACTGAAGCCCACACAGGGGACTCTTCATTCACGACCCTTGGCCGTCTTGACGATCTTCATGAAGTTTCCAGGAACATAGCTTGGGGTCCGTCGCAATGTTGCCTTGGCAGGAACACAGCTTGGGGTCCGTCGCAATAGTGCCTTGGCAGGAACACAGCTATGGGGTCCGTGGCAATGTTGCCTTGGCGGGAACACAGCTTGGGGTCCGTAGCAATGTTGCGTTGGCAGGAACACAGCTTGGAGTCCGTGGAAATGTTGCCTTGGCAGGAACACAGCTTGGGGTCCGTGGCAATGCCGCCTTGACAGGAACACAGCTTGTGGTCCGTCGCACTATTAACTAGGCCTCACTCAGGCTGCGCCATGGGCGCGATCAACCAGGCCTCACTCAGGCTGCGCCAGGTGCACGATTTACTAGGCCTCACTCAGGCTGCGCCAGGTGCACGATCCACCAGGCCTCACCCAGGCAGTGTCATGTGCACAACCAGGCCTCACTCAGGCC